GAGCAATTTGGAACTATGCCCAAAGGGCTATAAAAATGTGCATATCCTTTGACCCAGCAATAGCACTTCTAGGGCTATATCCCAAAGAGATCACACAAATGGGAAAAGGACCTACATGTACAAAAATATTCATAGCAGCTCTTTTTGTGTTGGCAAAGAATTGGAAATTGAGAGGATGCCCATCAATTGGGGAATGGCTGAGCAAGTTGTGGTATATGAATGTGATGGAATACTATTGTGCTATAAGAAATGATGAACAGGCTTATTTCAGAAAAACCTGGAAAGACTTGTATGGTCTGATGCTGAGTGAAGTGAGCAAAACCAAGAGAACGTTGTACACAATAACAGCCACGTTGTGTGATGACTAATATTGATAAACTTAACCCTTCCTGCAATACAGGGATCTAAGACATCTCCAAAGGCCTCGTGATGGAAAATGCTTTCCACACCCAAAGAAAGAACTATGGAAGCCAAATTGTTATTTTTTTCTCTACTGTTGAGTTTAGTTTGCTCTTTTTGATGGTTCGTCCTATTGGTTTTAATTTCTACTTACTACATCACTAATGTGAAAATATGTTTAATATGAATGTAAATGTATAGCCTATATCAGATTATGTGCCATCTTGGGGAGGGTGGTGGGGAGGAAGGGGGAGAAAAATCTTAAACTCAAAAGCATATGGAAGTGATTATTGATAAATCAAAATAAATTAATAAAAAAAGAAAAACAAAAACAACAACAAAAAATAAAATAAAAACATATCGAGTGGCCAAAATGGTAAGACAAAACTAACAAGATGGAACTTGGTAGAGATAAATGTAATTTCTTACACATGGAATCAAAACCAATTTCACAAGTACAAAATGAAAGAATCATGAATAGATAGTAGTGCTTTGGAAGGAAGATTCAGAGGTTTAGTAGACATTAGGAGTCAACAGTATTCTACTAATGAAGACTATGGTGGCATATAACATCTAAGTTCTTCTTTTCGCAGTTTTTGGGCAGCTTATAATGTTTCTCAGTGCTGTGTCAACCAGCTCTTTTACTTTTTTCTGCATTTTTTCCAAGATGAGAGATCTTGGCATTTTTTTCCCTGCTTCTGTCATTTCTACCTTTCTATCAGGATAAAAATACAGTTTTTTTTCCCCCATGAAATCTTTTGCTTTGTTTTCTTTTCCACAGATATTTCTAAATTGCTGACCTTTATCATATGTCCTGAGTTTCTCCAGTGGCACTCAATTGCTTCTTTGTTTCATTTCATGAGGTATTTGTTATTTATAGTAAATTTAAAATTTACTAATTTTATTTCTTTTTTAGTCACTCTAGTATGTTTATTATCTCTTTCATTGTGTCAAAAATATAGCTTTGTCTCTAATACTATTGTAGCTATTGTTAAAGCATATTTTTCCTCTTGCTTTTTTTCTTAGCTCTTTTTATTGATAATTTTTTGCATTATGTTAGGACTCTGGTTTGCTCATTTTAAAAAGTGATCTTGCAAGGATTTCTGGAAGTTTTGCTTTGCTGTTTTTAAGTGAAGTATTCAGGGGATAGACATCCTTGTGAAATCTCATTCTTTTATCTTCTCCTAAACCTAGAGGGTGATCTTTATAACTTTTTAAAGAAAGTTCTATAGATACATTTTGCTGATGATGGTGATTTTTTTTAAACAACAAATTCATTTTCCAATGTACTTCTTTTCAATTATTCCCTCCTTGTAACAAAAACTGTTAAGCAAAGTCAACTGACAAAATGACTGTATCCTACAAGTGTTCATCATTTATTCTCTGAGACTGAAAACTTTGATCACAATTCATCTTAGTAGCAGTGTTGTTTTCATTTGTATTATTGTCATTTGCATATATTCTCTTGGTTCTTCTTACTTTTTATTGATGCCTTTTGTTTTACATCACAGTCATTTTCTTATATAATCACACCCATAATAAGTGTGGGGCTTTCCCTTTTTTTAAACTAAATTTACTTTTTTTAATTAGCAAAACCTCTGCCTCTCACCACCGCTTCTTCTTCTAGTTGAGGAAGAAGGAAAATAAAACCCTGTTACAAACATGTATAGTCGAGCAAAATAAATCCTTATACTGGCTATGTCCAAAAAATATACATATCTCATTCTGCACTCTGTCATTCACCTCTTCATCAGTCAGAAGAGGAGGTCAGTAGAATATTTCGTTATGAATCCTCTGAATTACACTGATCAGAGTTCCTAAATCTTTCTTTTTAAAATATTTAATTAATTAATTTTTTGTTAAATTTTGAGCTCCAAGTTGTTTCTCTCCATCCTTCCCAATCTTGCATTAGAGTAGGCCAACATTTGATATAGGTACATATGTGGAACCATTCAATACATACTTCAAAGTATTAGTTCTTTCTCTGGAGTTAGATAGCATTTTCCTTCATAGGTCCTTTGTAGTTGATTTAAATATTCATATTACTCAGAATGGCTTAGTCATTCACAGTTACACTTTGAACAGTGTTGCTGTCACTGTATACAACATTCTCTTGGTTCTGCTCATTTTATTCAGCATTATGTCATGTAAGTCTTTCCATGGTGTTGTAAAATCAACCTGCTTGCCATCTTATAGCATAACAGTAGTCCATCACAACAATATACCACAGTTTACTCAGCCATTCCCTAAGTGATGGACATCCCCTCAATTTCCAGTTCTTTGTTTCTGCAAAGAGAGCTGCGATAAATATTTTAGAACACATAGGTTCTTTCACATTTTCCCTGATCCTCTTGGGAAACAAACCTCATAGTGGTTTTTCTGGGTCATAGGGTATACACAGTTTATAACTTTTTGGGCATCATTCCAGATTGCTGTCCAAAATAGTTGGATCAGTTCACAATTTCACTAACAGTGTATTAGTGTCCCAGTTTTTCCACATCCCCTCCAGCATTTGTCATTTTCCCCCTTTGTCACTTTGGCCAATCAGGTGTGACATGGTACCTCAGTGTTGTTTTAGCTTGCATTTCTCTAATTAATAATGACTTAGAGCATTTTTTTTTGCTTTTGTTATTGATATAATCAATTGTGTTAATAGTTTCCTTATATTGAACCAGCCCTGAATTCCTGGCACAAATCTCCATGATCACAATGTTTATTCTTCATGGCATATTGCTGCAGTCTCCTACTTAGTATTTTATTTAGGATTTTTACATCCATACTCATTAGTGAAATTGATCTATAAGTTTCTTTCTCTGATTTTGCTCTTCCTGGTTTAGGTATCAGCATCATATTTATTTCATAAAAGAAGTTTGGTAGGACTCCTGCTTTGCGCTATTCCAAATAATTTATTTGATATTGAAATTAGTTGATATTTAAATATTTGCTGGACTTCACTTGTAAATCCATCTGGTCCTGATGGCTCTTTCTTAGGAAGCTCAATTTCTTTTTCTAAAATTTCTGTTCAATTATTTTTTCTAAAATAGGTTTATTTAGATATTCTATTTCCTCTTCTGTTAATCTGTGCAGGTTATATTGTTGTAAGTTTTGTTCCATTTAACTTAAATTAATTGGCATATTATTGGGCAAAATAACTCCTAATGCTTTAGGTTCATCTTCATCAGCAGTGTATAAACCCTGTTCAGTTTTGATATATTCCTTCTCTTGCAATAAAGAAATGTTGTTTAGCAAAACTAACAACTGCCATATCTGATGGCATATGGTCTCCCCCATCATTCCAATGAAAATTCTTCAACTCTTCTCCAGGGCCACAATTAGTCATTGCAATTACACTGTATTTGACTTCATTTTAGTGAGGATTTTTCAAGTGCGTGATTATAGTCACATGTACATGCATAGTAGTATACGTGCACATATATTGTGGTGTTTATTGTTTTCCTAGTTTTACCTCAATCTACTATTAGTCCATACAGATATATTCCTATGTCCCTTGACATTTTCACAATTGTCATTTTAAACGCATAATAATATTTAATTATATTCACATACCATAATTTGATTGACCATTCTCCATTCTGTGGGGACTTATTTTGTTTATAGGTTGTTGTTGTTTTTGTTTTTGTTTTTGCCACAAGAGATACTGTTGTATATTGTACCTGATTCCTATTTTTGACTTTGGTGGTATGGAGAATAGTAGCTATTTGCCCAGCATGGAATCTCTTGATCAAAGGGTATGAACAAGTATGTGATTTCTTTTTAACATAATTTCAAATCACTTTCAAAAGTAGTTTGATCAGTGCTTATCTTCATGCAACCCCACACATATTGACTATTTCATCCTTGGTCGTATCTGCCATGTTGCTGAGTACGAGGTGAAACTTTAGAGTTGCTTCAATTTGCATTTCTCTAAATATTAATTGGGAGTAATCTTTACCTATGGTTGTTGATAGTTTGAAATTCTTCTGAGAACATTTGTTTATATCCTTTAACTTTTTATCTATTAGAGAATTACCCTTTTTGTAAATTCCTCATAAATCTTAGACATAAGACTTTCATTAGAGATAGTTGATGTAATTGTTTTTTTTTTAATTGACCACTTTTCTTATTCTAGCCACATTGATTTTGTGCAAAAGCTTTTAAATTTTGTATAGCTAAAATTATCTACTTTCTCATTTGAGTTCCCTAAACCTTGATTTGGTTAAAAATTATCTCTCTCTGGATGTGGTTATGAAATACACCTTCTACCTTTTTGCTCTACTTTTTATATAATATAATATTTTGTATTCAGGTTGTGCATCTATTTGGAATTTATTGTGGCGTTTGATATAAGATGCTGATGTTCTCAACTACTTCCTAATTTTTCTAGCAGTTCTTGTTGAACAGAGAGGCCTTCCTCATGCAGTTTTATGTTCTTAAGTTTATCAAAGACTGAGAGTTTGATTATTTTGTATTCTTGCTGATCGAGGCTATTCCACTAAACTATTCAAGTTTTTTAAAGTACCCAATAGTTTTTTTTTAAATTATGCATACAATTGTGAATCTCTTAAGTATGGCTTATTTTTTTCTTTTAAATATGCAATCAAGTGCTTGCTTCAACAGCACTTATACCAAAATTGGAACAATACAGAGAAGATTAGCATGGCACCTACACAAGAATGACATGCAAATTTGTGAAACATTCTATATTTTTAAAATACTATTAAGTGAGGGGAAAACGAAAAGAAAAAATAGGCAAAGAGGCTAAAAAAAAATATACAGTCATTCAAGGTTGTCCTACTTCTCTGTGATTCCTTCTGTTCTCTTTTGTATATTTAAAACAAAAGATGCTTAAATGGCCTTCTTTTCTTTCTTTTTTTTTTCTACTTTTCCATTCCCTCTTTCTGTTCTTTTTTTTTTCCATATCCTTTTCCTACCAAATATCTTTCTCCCTTCGTCCCACCCCATTGGGAAAAAATAGAAAAACACAGAAATTGTAACAAATATGCATCGTCAAGTAAAACAAATTCCTACATTGGCCATGCTCGAAAATATGTATCTTATATTCTACATTTTGTATTCATTGCTTTTCTATCAGTAGATGGATAATATGCTTCATCATTAGTCCTCTGGAATCATCAGTCATCGCACTGATCAGAGTTAGGTCTTTCAAATATTGTTTGTCCTAAGAGTGTTGTTGTTATTGCATAAAATTATTCTCCTAATTCTGTTCACTTTAATTGACATCAGTTCATGCAAGTAGTCCCAGATTTCTCTGATATTATCCATCACATAATTTCTTTTTTTAAATTAATTTATTTATTTTTAGTTTTCAACATTCTCTTCCACAAGATTTTGAGTTCCAAATTTTCTCCCCATCTCTCCCCTCCCCTCACCCCAAGACGGTATGCATTCTGAATACCCCTTCCCCTAATCTTTCTTCTCTTCCATCACTCCCCCTCTCTTATGCCCTTCCCCTTCTATTTTCCTGTAGTGCAGGATAGATTTCTGTACCCCATTATCTGTATATTTTATTTCCCAGTTGCATGTAAAACCAATTTTTAACATTTATTTTTAAAACTTTAGGTTCCAAATTCTCTCCCTTCCTCCCTCCCCACCTACCCTCATTGAGAAGTCAAGCAACTCGATACAGGTTATATATGTATAGTCAGGCAAAACACATTCATAATAGTCATGTTGTGAAAAACCAACTATATTTCCTTTATCCTGTCCCTTCCCTGTTTATTCTATTCTCTCCTTTGACCCTGTCCCTCTTCAAAAGTGTTTGCTTCTGATTACCCCCTCCCCCAATCTGCCCTCCCTTCTATTTCCCACCTCCTTAACTTCTTTCCCCCTGTTTTCCTGTAGGGTAAGATAGATTTCCATACCCAATTTAGTGTGTATGTTATTCCCTCCTTAAGCCAAATCTGATGAGAATAAGATTCACTCATTGTCTCTTACCTTCTATTCCTTCTCACCTCAGATTCTATGGTTTGAGTTTTTTTGGTGCTGTTTGCTCATGTTCCCAGCCAATTCCTTGACTTTTAAACTCTTTCTTAAGGTAGGGGTCTGCTTCCAGTGTGGAGGATGTACTGTGGTTTTTTGCAGCTGTTTTCAGGGATACTTCTAGGGACCTGTAAATTTTCAGCTCTTCCAAAGTGGTATGATCAAAGGCGAGGTGTTTACTCCTTTCCTGATCTGTTCTGTGGTCTATGAATGACCACAAGCACTCTTTTCTGCCTTGGAACTGTGAGGAGGATTCCCCCTCTACCACGCTAGCACTCCTCCTTGCCCTAGGACTGCCACCCAGGACTGCGACCCAGATCCAAGCATGGGCAAAGCAAAAGAATCCTGCCTCTACACCAGCAAAGAGATCCTTACAATCCCCCTCTGATCAGCTGCTTGAAACCCCTGCCATCTGTGAGCTGAGAGCTCCAGAAGCAGCTGCTGCCCTGGGGCTGCGCCGACTGGGGCCGAACTGAGCTCCTCTCTCACCATGGTCAACAGACCTTTCCTACTGACTTTAGTTGTCTTTGGTGTTTGTGGGTTGAGAAGTCTGGAATCTGCCATAGCTGCTAGTGATTCAGTCCCTTAAGGCCTGCTCCAGGTTCACTGAGGTCCCATCTTTGCTTGCACGGCCCATGCTGAATTGTGCTCCTCCCCCAGCCTGATGCAACAGACCTTTCCCATCAACCATCCAAGTTGTCTTGGGCTGTAAATTTGTTTCATTCTGTGTTTTTGTGGGTTCTTCTGCTCTAGATTTTGTTTATAGCCATTTTTACAGGTATTTGGAGGGGTTTGGGGGAGAGTTCAAGCAAGTCACTGCTTTCACTCCCCTATCTTGGCTCTGCCCACCATCCATCTCATAATTTCTTTTTGCACAATAATATTCCATTACATTCATATACTATAATCTGTCTAGCCATTTCCCAATTGATGGATATCCCCTTAGTTTCCAGTTCTTTGCTGCTACAAAAAGAGCTAATATGAATATTTTTGTACATTGGTTGTTTTTCCTCTTTCTTTGATCCCTTTAGGTATAGGCCTGGTATTGACATTGTAGGATCAAAAGTTATTCCCAGTGTAGTGACTTTGGGGGTGTAGTTATAGATTGCTCTATAGAAAAGCTAGACCAATTTACAGCTCTACAAACAATGCATTATCATTTGTGTTTTCTAGCAGCCTATCCAATAATTGTCATTCTCTTTCCCTTTTTAGGGGGGGAGGGGTCATTTTTGCCAAAGTACTATGCCAAATCGTTTTGACAATGAGTGCTTTATAATTAAGTTTCAGATCTGGGAGAGCTATTTCCTCCTTCATTTTAGTGCTAGAACACAAGTCATCAAGTCGTGATGTTTTTATTGTTGTCCTATAGAGGTCATGTATATTTCTATCTTTTATGCTAAGAAGATTAAATTGAATGGAAGTAAATATAAAATTTTGTGCTTGGGTTTAAAAAATGGACTTTATAAATACAAGATTTAGGGAGGTATGATTAGATAGCAATTTGCTTATAGTAGCCCTGTTATGCAATATACAGCCATCTCAGGATCCACCACAAATATAGGATTTGGCATAGGGACTCATAGGAGGTCTTTGTATGGAAGCATTTGAGAAAAAGACTGCTAAAGAAGAAGATAAGAGTCTTAAAATGACCTTCTTTTCTTTCTTTCCCTTCTACTTTTTCCTTCTTGTTCTTTTTTTTTTTTGTCATGTCATTATCATATCATATCCCTTTCTATCATCTCCCTTCCATCCCACCCTCATTGCAAAGGGCAGGTTTAACATTTCTGCCTTTTTGTGACATCCATTTGCAACTTCTTTTTGCCCCATTATACTCCCACAAATGTACCATGTGATGCCAGTAAACATGTATACTTTACTATTCCCATTTGTGCATTGTTATCAATTTTTCCAATACTGTGTTGAGCTCCATTATGTTTATGCCTCTGATCAATCCATACAATTCAGGAAGATGCCTACCAAAGTCTCAAACAACTACTAGCCAAGTCTTTCTAGAATTTGGTTAGTTTTTCCTTTACAAATGTAGAAACTTTGCCATTTGGTGCACATGCGTTTAATAATATTTCATTGTCTATGGTGCTTCTAAGCACAACATAGTTTTCTGTTTCTCTTGATATCCTGAGTTTACATTGTTGGATTATATGAGATCACCATAGCAATTCCTGCTTTCTTGGAATTCTCCAACACAGTGCATTTTGTTCCGGCGTATGTTCTTCACTCTTTATGTATCTTTATTTTTAAATGTATATTTGAATGCTACAAATTGTGTTTTTTTTCTTAACCATTCTGTCATTTACTTTTATCATGGAATTTAATATATTTCTATATGTAATTGTAATTTTTAAATCTCTGTTTTCCCTCCATTCAGTTATTTTTATTGATTTTTTTCCTTCTTTCTTTTCAAGCCAGCATGTGTTACATTAACTTTGCTTACATTAATATGATCCTAGTCTTTTCCCACACACTCTCCTCTGACTCATATTACCCTGTCTTTTCCCAAGTTTCTTGAATTAATTTTTATAATGACTTTCTCTTTCTTTTTTTCTCTATCCTTTTCTTTGCCAAATTAGATAAGACTATAGGTTCAGTATCTTCTCTATTCCCATCACATTCTCACCATCCACTTCTTCAATAACATTGATTTGTACTACCCTTTTCCAAGAAGTGTTAATTCATTTCATCCCCTTTCTCATTTCTTTCCTCCTTATAGGCCATTCTGAAAGCTAACCTACCATTCATAGGTGTCACACTTAACATTCCATCTTTATTTGATGTTTCTCATGCATAGTAGGATTCCTAGAAGACAAAAATTTTGTTTTCTCCTCTACCCAATTCTTCTGTTAGTCCAAATGAAGATTCTGCCCCCCCCATTCATTATTTCTCCTTTTTTGTTTATTTTTCTTTTTTGAGGGGCCTCCTTTTGAAGAACCTCATATCTAGGAAAAGTTAATGTAGTATGATGGAAGATCTTCTCTATGCCTCTCCTTGGTCTGTTCATTTATATATTTTCCAGTTTTTTCAGTGTTTGCTCCATTTGCCGGCCCTCTCTTTTTCTTCTAGTCATGTCTTCAGAGATTCAGAGATACATCTAAGACAGACCTCAAAGGAAAAAAATACAAATTCTTTGTATCATGTGCAACAGGACTGGTCTGAGACTCTGGATTCGAATCCCGGAATTTGAATCACTCCTTCTGTGACCTCTTGTATTCACTTCACCTCTGGCCTCAGTTTCCTCATCTTAAAAAATGAAGGGTTTCAGTTGGATGGTCTCAGAGGTCCATATAGGTCTACAGGGTCTAAGGTCTATGATCCTCTGCTATGTTACAGCCTGTTATAGTCACCACTTACCTATCCTAACTTCAGTAAGTATATCATATTGTAGACCTGGTTGTCCCATGTGTACCTGACTTCCTGGCTGGATGCTGTTGAAGGCCCAGGCACTCTACTAGGCACTCTAACTCCTAGAGCGGATTAAATGTATCTAGAACAAGCGCTGCAAATGGACAATAACTTGGGCATAGAATAAAATATAACAAGGAAATCATGCAGTGCTTTCAGTGATCCCTAAAATTCACCATGGAACAAAAATTTATCTTTTTACAAAAACAAAAACAAACTCATAAATGCTTTCTCCATGATGATGGATGGATATGAATTTTGAAACACTATTGTCTCTGAAGAGTCAAAGTT